TAATACTAACTTATGCTGATTCCCTCACTGCAGAGTATAACCACCCATTCCCATGCATGGGGTTTTGGAGACCACAGCCATAAGACATATCTGCTCATGTGGCTCCTACAGGACCCTGATGGCAAAGTCCTGTATAATTTAGTGAAGAATGATAAATGTTCTGTAGAATTTTTAAACAAACCTACAGAATTGTACAGCAAAGATTTCATTGTCTATTTAAAGAACAGGAGTACTTGTGGCACCTTAGAGACTAACAAATTTATTAGAGCATAAGCTTTCGTGGGCTACAGCCCACTTCTTCAGATGCATATAGAGTGAAACATATATTGAGGAGATATATATACACACATACAGAGAGCATGAACAGGTGGGAGTTGTCTTACTCTCTGTAAGCTGTAGCCCATGAAAGCTTATGCTCTAATAAATTTGTTAGTCTCTAAGGTGCCACAAGTACTCCTGTTCTTTTTGCGGATACAGACTAACACGGCTGCTACTCTGAAACCAATCTTATATACAGTACAGTGTTAAAGTATTGTAATAGGTTAACAAATATATTGCCCAAGCATAATTAAAGTTAATTTTCCTTCGGGATCTGTCTATATTTGTACCTGTGAGTAAGTTTCAACTCCTCATATTAATAAATAGTAGGATATTTACTGTCCATAACAGTGGGAATCATACTTGAATTTTTTTCAAGAAAAAATTATCAATGCTGTCTGTGTCCAGTTTTATGCTATATTTTGTGTCACTTCTGCTCACAGAAATACATGATTCCACAATATGATTATAAATCAAGTTGTCACTGCCTCCTTTGCCTTGGGGTCCTCTTTTCCCACCTCCAGCGACACACACCTAACCTGAATTTTACAGTAGGCATGAGTAGCCATATTGTATAAAACTTTAGCAGTATTCCCCATCTCTGATGTGGTTAACTAAAGCTCACAAAACAGCTGAGGTACAAATTATAATCTAGAACACGATAAGTAATACTTCTGGTGGTCACGAGTTCAAGATATGGGGTCTATTGTACTGCACTTGCATTACAATAGTTATCCCTATATCCTGAACTCATGTTCTCCAAGTGTATTACTTAAAGTGCTTACATACAATACTTATTTACATCCCTTGGGATAGTACATTTGGTGGGCACTAGTCCAATAGGAGGAAATATACTTTTGAACATTGTTACATATATACACTACATACTAGTTTTTCCATTTTTGTTTTTCTTTTCCATCCAAAGTTTTTTCCAATGTAATCCTCTAGTATCTTAGTCTGAAATTTTACTTGTAAAATTAAAAAGTCTTGGATCTCAATTTGTACAGGTAAGACATTAAAACAAGTTATTTTGATATACTATTTTTTCCTATGAAGAGAAAAGATGAATGAAATAAAGCTTTCCACCTCTCAAGCCAAATAAAATGAAAAATTTGAAGGTGAATACTTAAAATAAGGAATACACTAAAGTCTTGTATTAAAAGTAAACACAATAGAAAATATAATGCTAAGTAGAATGCAATATTATTGTATTCACATCATTTTAAAAGAAACACCTAAGATATAAACTTTAAAGCATAGGTAATGAGTACAGGCCAAAAATTATTATGTACTGCAGAATTAATGCAGGATTTACATCCTTATAACAACCCTAAATATATTTTGTAAACCACTTCCCGTAGCAAGAAAAAAAAAATACAGAATACATTCAAGTTTAAAAATATCTATCCTCTGAAAAGCACGACAATACCATTTATTTACAGATTTCAGTACTCTGATAGGCACACTTATCTCTTTACACATGTTTCTGCTAATGTCCTAAACTTGGGTTCCAGCTGATCTAAAAAGTCAAGCACTTCCACTTCTTGCTGATCACTGCAGCAGCCTACAGAACCAGCCAATGATCCTCTTCCTTCATAGTTATATGGAAGGACATAGTCTTCAGAATGCTTATTTTCTTCATCCTGTCTGCACATATACACCTTCTGCATAAAAAGAAAAACATACTATTAGTTTTCTTTAACTGTTATCCTAAACGTATGGCATAAAAATAATTTTTGATTTACCTTTCATTGTTTAATTTTTAATCAGAGTGTGTCCTCTAATGGGTTCCTACATACAAAAAATGCACATGATTGGTCTATATCATTCATACTATAAAATAAGTATTTAACAAAAATCATTTTCTACTGATCACACACATAATAAAATGTGAAGAAACTGGTTAACCTGTTAAATCCATTTGAAAACAAGATTAAAAGCATGATTTACACAAATTCGGCCCTACCAAATGGTCCATTTTGATCAATTTCACAGCCAGAGAGTTTTAAAATTGGTCAATTTCATGATTTCAGCCATCTGAAATTTCATGGTATTGTAACCAAAAGGTACCCAGGAGATGGGTCTGATCTCATTTCCCCCCTCCCTGAGCAGCCGTGCAGGGGATGGACAAGTCCTGTCCCTCCCCAGGCTGGGGCGCTCCCAGTAGCATGGCAAGATCAGATTTCACAGGGAAGGGCTTATTTCACAGTTGTGACATGTTTTTCACAGCCAGGAAACTGGTAGGGCCCTATACATAAAACTTGGTTTTTGGTGCATGGTGTAACATACATTTTCTAATGTTGCACAGCAATACGTACACCACATCCAGCATGTACATAAGGCATTAAATTTTATCCCTTGGAAGCATTTAGATAAAATCAGTACAATGGACAGTTAGACCAAAAGCAAGTACATCTGTGCACATACACACAGCAGTCACATTCTAAATGGAAAATAATAGTTCTGCTTAAAAACTATTCTGGTGTGTTTCTCTTTGGGGGTAATTGGAGATAGTTAAAGGATTGTCTTAGTTTTGCTCAAAGAGTGGTCTAACAATCGTCAAAGGGGTGGGGGTGGAAGTGGCGGGGGGGGGGGGAGGAGAACTGTCGTAAATTCAAACAGTATGACACCGGAGACAAATATCAAAATACTTACTTCACCTAGACGAGAATGCATGAAATTCTGCCATTCTGAGTATGAGTATCTGCCTTGTTCCATCGTGGACTGTCCATATCCCCTGACTGATTCCAGGGTCTGATGTCCTCCTTTGGACATTTCAAAACTCTGTCCCCCAGTTTTTACTTCATGTCCTATTGTGCCTATGCCAACCCCTTGATCACAAGAAGTTACAGTTGCAGCTTGTAGAGGAATGATATGTGGATCCTAAAAGCAAAGATAATAGTGGGGGAGGGGGGGGAAAATCTTACCAAAATACTTCAGATGTACATTTTTCTAACAAAGAAATATTTCCTTTATCACCTTTGCTTTTGGACAGATCATTTCAAAAGGATACAGGGCTTGGAAATGGTCAGTGCTTAAACTGAAATGTCTCATTCTGTGTGCACACAGTATTGTACTGAATCCATGCTGAGCACTCTCACTGATGTCTAAAGAAGTTTGTGCATAAATCATGGGCAGTTGATGGCCTTTATATGCATATAATTTAGAGAGCCTCCTACAAGGACCACTTTGGGAAGCAAAAAGCACTCAGATACTTTCATATTACAGATCATTTGCTAGTATGCTATAAAGTTACATAAATAAAATATACATAAATAAAATAATGTTATTTAGGTTGCAAAGTCAAGCACTAAAAAGTTGCAAAGCCAAATTTATAGTTGCTTGTGCAACCTTCATTCTGTTCCCTTGGGCATTTCAGTCTTTGCACTGAATGAGGCTGGAGTCCTGTAGAAAAAATTGTATATGATCATATAATTAAAGACTTTCACAATGCCTAGGCACAAGGATGCCTGTGTAACCTTCAAATAGGCCATCATAAATCTGACATTTCCTAACTTTTTGAAACCTAAGTAACATTTTAAATGTGATTAACTTTTTAATAGGAAAAAACTGCTACTGTGTGCAACTGTAACACCTCCTCATACCCCCAAATGATGCATGATTATGATTTGAATCCAGAGCCTTCAGCATGGACTGATATTACCTGAGCAACATTAGGTAGCAGCAGAAGGCTGTTATTCCACAGGGGGGAGATAGACTGAGTCTTGAGGGTGGCTGGGTGTGGAGAGCCCTGGCTCAGTTCTCACCTCCCTTTCACCTCATCTCTCCACCCTCACACACAGTTTGGGGAGCTCCTTCCCTGCATAGTGTCTCAAGAAGGGGAACTAGGCTGAGCCATGGAAATTTCGGGTTTGTTTTGGGGGTTTTTTTTGGAGGAGGACAAGGGGAGCCTGGTCAGGTTTTTCCTTCTCCTTCCTTCCCACCCCACCTCCCCTGACCCCGGGAGGTAAGGGGGCTGCCCCGAGAGTGGGCTCACAGGTTACTGAAACTGTGTCAGGTCAGGGATGAGACCTGGCTCTTTTTCCTATCTCCAATGGCACAGCTGCTCTGGCAGCTCCTAGGTGTTCCCATGGTGGTAGCAGTGCTGCTACAGCAGCATGAGCCCAGCCTTAGAAGCTTCAGGTGTTTAGTGACTTTGCCATTTTGGAGAATGAATGTTCCCCTTGCAATTCTGGCATTTCCAAACTTGAGCGCTTGATTTTACAACTTTCATGTTCTTTTAACCACATGTGCTAAGAGAGTAACCGATAGCAGTTACACGCTGTTATCCCTGTATGGGCCAGCCACTAGAAGTGAGAGAGAGAAAGAGAATTTGCCAGTGGTTTAATCATATACTTGCTTACAGCAGGGGAATGTGTAAAGACTCAGGATTTCTGGATTTAATTCCAGGTTAGGGAGGAGAGTGTGTCCTAGTTATAAGACTCTTCTGTCCATGTCCCCACAGCCTGTCCGGGTCTCACTCTACTACACCCCCACCTCAAGATTTGAGGCCACTACTCCTTTTCCTATTTAACCCATCCCTCTATTTAAAAATTAAACCATGCTTTTCAAATGTACAATACATTTACAAATGCATTATCCTAGCTTTTTATTGTTTCACTTACTCACTGATTCACAAATTTGCAAAGGGTCTCCATGTCATACTGTGGTGACTACAATACCTTCATTACATGTTCCTACAGTTAAATAAATAAAAACACAACTCACCATCACTTCTTCTCCTGGTGCTTCTGTGTTTGATATAATTAAGTTCTGATTAGCTAAATCATCAGGCACATGTTTACTCACTGCCCCCGTGCCATAACAGCCACAAAGTGTAATCAGGATTACTACACAAGGGAAAATAAAATGAAAAAGCATCTTGAGTATAAGGTACTGGATTTTTGTATGTGTCAGAGGAATATGTGCACAGTCCAGTATTGATAAAGTATTTGGATTTGTGTCTGGAGATAAAATACTAAGTGTGATTAGTGACCAGCAAATTTGAAGCCTCTGAATACTCTGGTGTGCAAAAACTAGGGCTGTCAATTAATCACAATTAATTCACATGATTAACTCAAAAAAATTAATCAAGATTAATCGCAGCTTTAATCGCACTGTTAAACAATAGAATACCAATTGAAATTTATTAAATATTTGTGAATGTTTTTCTACATTTTCAAATATATTGATTTCAGTTACAACATAGAATACAGAGTTTACAGTTCTCACTTTATAGTATTTTTATTACAAATGTTTGCACTGTAAAAATGCTAAAAGAAATAGTATTTTTCAATTCACCTCATACAAGTCCTGTAGTGCATTCTCTTTATCATGAAAGTGCACCTTACAAATATAGATTTTTTTTTGTTACATAACTGCACTCAAAAACAAAACTATGTAAAATTGTAGAGCCTACAAGTCCACTTAGTCCTACTTCTTGTTCAGCCAATTGCTAAGACAAACAAGTTTGTTTACATTTACAGGAGATAATGCTGCCCGTTTCTTATTTACAATGTCACCTGAAAATGAGAACAGACACTTTTGTAGCCAGCACTGCAAGGTATTTATGTGCCAGATATGCTAAAAATTTGTATGACCCTTCATGCTTCGGCCACCATTCCAGTGAACATGCTTCCATCCCAATGACGCAAGTTAAAAAAGTAATGCGTTAATTAAATTTGTGACTGAACTCCTGGGGGGAGAACTGTATGTCTCCTGCTCTGTTTTACCCACATTCTGCCATATATTTCATGTTATAGCAGTCTTGGATGATGACCCAGCACATGTTGTTCGTTTTAAGAACACTTTCACTTCAGATTTGATAAAACGCAAAGAAGTTACCAATGTGAAATTTCTAAAGATAGATACAGCACTCGACCCTTGGTCTGAAGTGCCTTCCAAATCTGAGCGGGACAAGGTGTGGAGCATGGTATCAGAAGTCTTAAAAGTGCAACACTCTGATGTGGAAACTACAGAACCCAAACCCCAAAAAAAGAAAATCAACCATCTGGGGGCTGGTGACATCTGACTCAGATGATGAAAATGAACATGCATCAGTCCACACTGCTTTGGATAGTTATCAAGCAGAACCTGTGATCAGCATGGACGCATGTCCTCGGAATGGTGGTCGAAACAAGAAGGGACATGTGAATATCTTGCGACGCTGGCTACAACCGTGCCATGTGAATGCCTTTTCTGACTGTCATATGACATTGTAAACAAGAAACAGGCAGCATTATCTCCCGCAAGTTCAACTTTCATGATAAAGAGAGAGTGCACTACAGTACTTGTAATGAGAGAATTGAAAAATACTATTTCCTTTGGTTTTTTACAGTGCAAATATTTGTAATAAAAAAAATAAAGTGAGCACTGTACACTTTGTATCTTGTTTTGTAATTGAAATCAATATATTTGAAAATGTAGAAAAACCATCCAAAAATATTTAAATAAATGGTATTCTATTTAGCTTGACAGCAGGGGCGGCTCTAGGCACCAGCAAAGCAAGCACGTGCTTGGGGCAGCCCATTTGCAGGGGCGGCAGGGATCCAGCATGGGAGCTGAGAACCAACAGGGGGCCCTGGGAGCTGTAGTTCCTTGGTTAGCTCCCTGCCTATAGAGCCAGCCCTGGAGCAGGGAAAGAACTACATTTCCCAGCATTCTCTTGGCCACTACCAACAGGAAAGAAGGGGAGGGAGTGACGAAGCTGAGACCTCGTGCTGCAGCCTGCTGTGAATAGAGAGCTGCACTGTGAATAGAGATACCATATTTTAACATTCAAAAAATAGGACACTCCACGGGAAGGGAGGGTAGCCCCACCCTGCCACCATCCACTCCCTGCGATTGCCCCCCACAGAAACCCCAACCCATCCAACCCCCCTGCTCCCTGTCCCCTGATCACCCCCTCCCGGGACCCCTGCCCCAACTGCCCCCAGGACCCCACCCCCTATCTAAGCCCCACTGGTCCTTGTCCCCAACTGCCCCCTCCTGAGACCCCTCCCCAACTTCCCCCCTAGGACCCCACCCCCTACCTGTCCCCTGACAAACCCCTGGGACTCCCATGCCTATCCAACTGCTGCCTGTCCCCTGACTGCCCGCCCCCGAACCCCTGACCCATCTAACCCTCCCTTCTTCCTGTCCCGACTGCCCTCCCAAAGCTCCGCCCCATCCAACCCCCCCGCTCCGTCCCTTGACTGCCCCCCCAAAACCCCCTACCCCTTCTCCAACCCCCCAGCCCCCTTACCGTGCCACTCAGACCAGCGTGTCTGGCTTCACGCAGCACCAGATACGCTGCTGCATACATGCTGCATGCTCCCCTGCGGAGCCATAGTCGTCCCCCTCCCCCAGCACCTGCCTTCCAGATTTGAACACCCTCAAAATTCAGGAGTGCTCAAGCTCAATTCGGGCAGCTGTTACTTCATTTCTCCCAAATCAAGTATACTGATCCACTGTAACTTGCTGTAGAAAAAGTAGGATAAAATTGAGCAAGAAATGCTTCCCAGTGGTTATTAGGATTGGAATTGCTATTTTCAACAGCCATTGCCTTTGTTTGTTTGTTTAAAAGGAAGACAGTGATATTGCATTGGCAAATTCCCCATAGAAAGAAAGAGTGGAGCAAAAGAATAATAAAGGCACCTCAACTTTTCCTCATTTATGTAGGACAGTCTTATAATATGCATCCAGATATCCTCCAATCACACAAGCTGAAAATTGTTCCACTTTACTGCAGTTCTGTAACCATATGGGAACCAATCCTGTCTGTGTTCTGTGCACATCTAAAATTCCTGCTGAATGACCTGCCCTGGGAGCGAGTTACCAGTGACCCAAGGCTGCAGCGGAAGGAGGGTGCAGGTGTGTGTGTGTGTGGGGGGGAGGAGGAGAGAAGAGCCCAGGGCTGGGGAGACGTGGGGGGGGGGGGGGGGGGCCCAGGGGGGGGGCAGCAGGGGGGTGCGGCGAGAAGCCCAGGGCTGGGACGGGGGGCAGCCAAAAATTTTTTTGGTTGGGGCGGCAAAAAACCTAGAGCCGGCCCTGCTTGACAGCCCTAAAAAATAACTATACAAAATTCCGACATCAACTCTCCCCCAAGGGAGGAAGAGAGAAAAAAAGAACAAGTGACAGATATTAATCACATCATTTAACACACTTCTGGAAGTTGCTCAGATACTATGGTGATGCAGGCTATGTAAGAATCTTAATGGAAGAGGCACTGTCAATTACGAAACAGACTAGTATAGAATTTTAAAAAGGGAATATTTTGCATTTCATATAAATGCATACTTACATAGCAGTAATAGTGATCCCAGAATCATTGCAAGGATGGCCCATACACCAAGAGTAACAGCTGGTGAAACTTGTCGGACAGTACCACAATCACTTGGAGTAGTACAATCACAATAGTTAACTGTAACCATATTTGTTCCTAGTCTTCCGGCATTATCCCTCACAGTGATAGGAATTTTATATATTCCAAATGGAATATCAGTCCTTGGTGAAAGTAATATAGATCTATCTGCAAAAAGGATAAAACAAATCCAATGTTGAATGTTAAAAAATTGTTACCTTTTCTTTGTAACTGATGCAAAGGACATTTCTAAGGCTCCAGCCCTACAAAGGAATCCAAGTGGATGGACTATATCATCTAAATACATAAAATCCCACTGAAGCCACTGGTGTATTAAATGAAGTCAGTGACACACTGTACAGGGGTAAGGGTCTGCCCACAGAGACCTCTTTGCAGGATTGGAGCTTAATTCTCTAGTTTTCAGTTACTGGATAGGAAAGCAGTTATTCTGTGCCGTACCATACAGTTAAGTTTTATCACTGACATGGACAACAAAAAATATTTCTAAGATTTACACCCCTTCTCTAAGTATACTTTGTTAATGATTAAGAACAGGAAATGAAAAGTGAGAGCTGCATAGTGAGACCTCTTCTTAAGGTCACTAGTATGAAACTTTGGTAGGTTTTGTTATTGTTTGTTTTCAGTTTTATTGATTTAAAATGATATTTGTTTTCACAGTGAAGATGCCAGCCAATGCTCCTGATGAAGGGACGTTCTGTTGTCTTTTTTTCTATTAAAGAAACAGAAGCTAATTAAATCTTCCTCCATTCCCTAACATGGGAACTGCCATAATCAGAGTAGCAATCCTAGTTCAGTATCTTTTTTTTCTGGTAGCGAGTGGCCTTATAGCAAGATGTCTTACATGCCTTACAGATGACTTACAGCAAGATGCCGGGAGAAGGAGACCAAAGCCCTGAGTTAAGTGGGGAAGTCAGATACCAGGAGGAAGCACGAGCAGGAGAGCGCAATAGGGGAGATGACAGAACAAGGAGTAATGGTCTCAAGTTGCAGTGGGGGAGGTTTAGGTTGGATATTAGGAAAAACTTTTTCACTAGGAGGGTGGTGACGCACTGGAATGGGTTACCTAGGCAGGTGGTGGAATCTCCTTCTTTAGAGGTTTTTAAGGTCAGGCTTGACAAAGCCCTGGCTGGGATGATTTAGTTGGGGTTGGTCCTGCTTTGAGCAGGGGGTTGGACTAGATGACTTCCTGAGGTCCCTTCCAACCCTGATATTCTATGATGCAAGAAACCAATATTGGATAACAATGAGTAAGGAAGAAACTTCTCTAGTGGGCATCTAACTCCCATCAGTTACTGGTTGGCTTTACTCTGAGACATGAAAATGTATATCCCTTCTAAAATATTTCAGTTTGTCTAATGAAACTCTCGATTTTTTTAATATAAATTTCTAATCACTTAAATCCCTCCAAGCTTTTGGCCTCATTAATACCTTGTGGCAGTAAGTTTCACATGTTAAAAGAAAACCCATACACAATACAAAGTTGTTAGTTTTAAATTTGATGCCCCTCAAGATAACAATGCGATGATTAGGAACAGCATGAAAAGGAGTGCCTAACCACAGTCAAATTTTTATAGTTATGGTACAGGAGAGTTTGAAGGAGGAAGCGTGAAACAGCTTTGAGAATGTTTACGGGGAGCTCCTTGTAGATACGGGAGAAAGAATAAATGTGCTTGTTGGACAATCTGACAAAATGGGCAACCCTTCTTTATTGGGAGAACGGAGGCAGAAATAGACATCTGAATAAATGAATAAGATTTATAGGTAGGGTGAGATAGACCAAAAAGGGTCTAAAGTAAAAGGTCTTAAGTGAAGACAAGTAATTTTTGTGTCTGACTCACTGGAGAAGGAGAGAGATGAGAAAAGGGGAAGAAGGGGGAATGGTTGAAATGACAAACTAGGAAAATGATCACTGAGACAGCATTTTGAATGCATATAAGTAGGGCAATGTTACATTTGTCAAGGCTGGAGAGGAGGAGGTTGTAGTAGTAAAGAAAGAATGTGACGAGGGCCTAAACAGGAATTATAGATGTCTGGAGGGAGGGAGGGAGGGAGGGAGAGAGGGGAAAGGCTGGATCTTACAGATGTTGAGCTACAGGAAATAATCAGGGCAAAACACATTTTTTCCATCTGTTTTTGACTAGTTCCAGTATAACATGTTGTACCTTCTAATCCTCCAAAATAACCGTTCATTTTAAAGAGATATTGTACATTTGTGTTAGCAGCTCGGCCATGTCATTCTTAAAAACCATCAGTTTCTGGTGACTTTTGTTATTGTGTTTTTCAGTTTATTCCATCACCTCCTCTTTTGACACTTCAATCTCATCTTTATCTGAAATGAGTGGGATTCAGATTCTGTGCCTCTCAGAAGACACCATCCACCTCTGCACCTTCCTATTTCTGGGTTGATCAAGGTGCCAGCATGGCTCTCAGAGTAGTTAGAGCAGCCCCTGTATCTGCTGTAACTTACAGGAGTTTCCCCACTGTTGCAAAAGGGCTATTCCAAAGCCAGAATAGCTGGAGCACAGAGCTCTCTGGAGCTCCTCTCCATCTCTTTTCTGTTCCAGGTACCCTCAGCTGGTGGCTCTGCAGGAGGACAGCATTGGGCTACACGTCAGGGGCATGCTGGACTGTATAGAGGGTTCTGTTTAGGGAGTTAGAAAGGAAACTTGAATTTGGCCCTAGTTTGAAGTAGGTGGTTCCCTAACTTCCTCATTTGGTGAAGAGCGATGCCAAGAAATGTAGCATTTCTGCCATGTCCTTATTCTCCCTTAAGTGTCCCCTTTACTCCGTTGTAATCCAACAGACTCACCTCTTACAATTTTCTTGCTTATATTTAAAAATCTTCCTATTTGTTTTCAGATATTTGGCTATTTGCTCTTCAAAACTGCTTTTAGTTCTCCTAACTTACAGACTTTTTGCCTGCATTGTTCCTTTTTATTCCTTGGACTTCCATTTTCTGAAGGATATCTTTTAGGTTAAAATAAACTACCTTTCTATTTGATCATACTGGTTTCTATCTTGCTTTGCTACTTCCTGTCTGAGGGTTTGCATGCCTTCTGTGACTCTGGTATGGTATGATTAATCTCCAAATACTTATTGTAAGTATGTCAAAAATACAAAAAAGTGGCACAAGTCTGCTTACTGAAAAGAAACAATAAATCTGGCAATTAATACTATTAATATTCTTGTTTTTAAAAAGAATACGCAATATTGCATACCATCTTGTTGTGTTGTTTGCCATCCTGAACCCATACTCCTGTCAGAAATATCAAATCTGAAAGGTGCAGAATAGGGAGACTCATTAGAAGTGACTGCAGTAATATAAACTGGTTTTCGGTCTCTGCACATTGTAAATTCTGTTGGAGTCACGGTGGGGTAATATCTGTCGCAAGCACTTACAGTAGCCAACACTGTTCCAGTACCTGTTTTACCACCTAGGAGACAGAAATAATAATTTCAGTGCTGTTTTACTTTTAGTGCTCTCCAAGTTTTAAAACTCTGTGGTTTCATCTAATCCAAGCTGGTACCCAGGATTTAAAAGTAAAAGAAGACGGGGAGTTTCCCAACCTTTCCCCTAGCTTATAGGAATACTATTTCCCCTTGGCTGCTGATGTGAGGGCTCAAATAGGCTGAAGACTGTGAAATGAAATCAGGAGCGGATGCCTTGCTGGGTGGCTTTGGGGGGGAACCCAGCATTTCTTGGAGCAGGTATAGCAGCATCTGATAGGAGGGGAAAAGATGTTCCAATTGGTATTCTCTTACTCATCTCAGCTCCTCTAAAGAAAAATCTGCCTCTTGCTGCCCCCGCCCCCACACATTTAGGGAACTGGGGTAAAAATCTGCCTGGGAATTGGTCCTGTTTTGAGCAGGGGGTTGGACTAGATGACCTCCTGAGGTCCTTCCAACCCTGATATTCTATGATTCTATGAATCATTCATAATAGATTGTATGATAAATCCCTGTCTCGAATGGTCACAAGATCTTTAAAAATGCAGACTATTCAACGGGGTATTTCAAAATCATGTAGAAAGAATCCTGCCTTTGTCCCCGGTCTCCAATATCTGTTTTTACATCATTACAGATTCTCCATCCTAATCAAACCTAAATGATGGAGTTTACGAAAGTGGGAGAGTGATGCACCAGGATGCAGGGGTCAACAGTTCCACATGCTGATGTATTCGCACTTTGTTTGGCTGGCTATGGTCCTGCGTGGGAATGTGAATTCCTTTCACATACAATTCTTCTATTGGCCCTACTCTTCCCCTTGCATCATCTTGCAGTGATGGGATGCAGCAATGCCACGTCACCATATAACAGACCTATGACAACAGCCACCAACGCCAGTAAAATCCTCCTCTTAGCTGAACTGACCCACTGTCAACACCTGAAGTTATCTAGTAACCTCTACAGAAATGACTAGGACTTACATATGCAGAATGCTGAAGTCAAATTATTTCTTACTGCTTCCTTTTATAGATATATAAAATATATAGATATAGATATATCTGCTCACTGTTATATACTGCACTTATATTTAGCATCTTAAATTGTAAAATTTGAATAATCTAATTACATCAAAATTAGTCAAACTTTTTAAGTACAGGTTCTGCTTACAAAGTAATTTGAAGAACTTAAAATCTGAATGGGAATAAATTTAAACAGATAAGGGCTAGATCGTGCCACTGGGTCCAATGCATTTTTGCTTTCAATATGAAATGCATGTTTGCAATGCTCTAATAGTACTCACATTGTCACACCAAAATATTTAAGTCTTTGGGCTGCAATCACTAAATTTACCTTGAGAATCTATTAGCTACACTAAGCATTTGGGAAACAAAAAGGGTACTTCATTAGTTTATCTCAATTATGTCTTTTCCTAGGATAAAAAAAATAGAGAACATGTAATCTTTTAGTTTAATGTTAATTTTCAACTCCAAAATCAGTTTTAGAGTGAGAACCTAATTCTGCAACCCTTAAGCATGATGAGTAGTACTTACCTGGCTGAGTAACCCCAGATAAAATAGGGACTACTAATCTGAGTAAGTATAATTTATTGTGAGAAGCGTTGCAGAATCTAGCCTTAAGTAGGGTATTGGAGAAGAGAGAACAAATATAACATAGGAGGGGAAAAAAAAAAAAAAACAGTAAAGCAAAGTTACACTTAAAAGCGCTCTTAACTTATATGCTTCCCAGTTAGACTGCAAGGGATCAAACAGAAGATTAAAAATAAGCTGTACAGGGATTTTGTATTTACAGAATGACATCCTGATTCCACCCGCCCCCACCAGCCAACCTCATGGCTGTCTGTGGTACCATCAAGGGGATTGGCGGGGAGGAAGGTTATTTGGGAATAGGGAAGGAAACAAACCAAAAGAAAAGTGTTCACCAATGAAAGTATCAGATTTAATATATTTCAAAACAAATATTGAAGCATTTTAAATGAGAACTGAGCTCTTGTGGAAGTCTGGCCCCAATTGTGAGTGATGAATACTTTTGAAAATCTGGCCCTGAATGCTGTATGCAGTTGCTCAAACTAGAATAGCTACTCCCAGTCTCTGTGAACGATTGTTATTCTTTTCCTCCTATTGGGGGAGGGGAATTACCACTCCTAAGAAAATGCAATGGTAAAAAGCCTGTCTCCATTACAATCAACTGCAGGTTAAGAGGAAAATAGTTTAATGTGACACAGTTCCATAAATATTTGTGTGCGCACACAAACATGTGCAATTCATTTATAGACCAAATACGTTATACATATTCAACATTTGTACTCACTTTGGTCTACTGCAAAGACTGTAATATTGCACTGCCTGCCTGTCATATCTTTGTCAAAAAGTTTAGCAGTTCTGAGCTCGCCTGAGTTTTCATCAATGGTGATCCAGTTGCTTTGGCCAGGTGCTATCCGATAGCTAGTAAAAATAAAAATGTTTAAAAAAATAATTGTATAATGCTTATCTCCCCATATCCCCCAAAATGCTGTACATTTAATAAACCAGTATAATAAAATTATTTATACCGTATGCCTTCACTATTTCCTGTTTCTGGATCCTCTGCTAGGTATTTGCCAACCACTGTTCCAACTGTCGCGCATCCGTCAATCGTTATAGGAAACAAACAAGGTTTGAATACTGGTCCCTCATCATCATCTAGTACGGTAACTCTAACAGTACAGCTGCTCTGGGAAAGTGAACTTGAATATGGTACTACTGCATAAGGTATCTCATTAGATGCAGCAATCTCAAGTATCCTCAGACTGGTGATTTCGTAGTCCAATCCCTGTAAAATAAATTTAGGTCTATTAAATTCACCAAAACCTCCTATAAATTTTCTCATCACAGTTTTTAATAGTAAAGAGAGACAAACATGGTCAGGATTTTAGAAAAGGACTAATTATTTTGGGTGTCCCACCTAAGAAACCTTAAAGCGGCCTGATTTTCAGGACGTGCTAAGTACCAGCTTATTTAAGAAAAAGAAGAGGCATCCCTAGAATGGCATAAGAAGCACCACAAAACATGGTTATATTTGTAACTCTTTATTGGGCTGCTCTCCACCCCAAGGGCTATGTTAAAAACTAAGTATGTTTATTTCTAGAACTGAGGCCTGGTCGGTCTACACTTAATTAGATTGCCCTAGCTATACCACTCAGGGCTGTGAACAATTTTGCACCCTGAGCACTGTGTATATGTTGACCTAACCCCCCAAGAGTCCTTCCATCGACCTAGCCTCTTGAAGTGGTGGATTACCTACATTGGCAGAAAAACTCCTTTCATTGATGTACAAAGCGTCTACGCTATGGTGCCACAGCTGCTGCATCACAGCTGTGCTGCTGAAGCATAGACATGCCTTGACTTTCTTCCTAGAATACTTGCTGCCTTTCCTGTCTGTTGCCACAAGTCAAGAATTCTTTCCTATTAGAAATGCATGTGTGTGCTTAGTGAGAATTCAACAACGGTAAGAACCTCTGAACTTCTAGTGCAGTTGGCATGACAAGTGTTTTTTGTTTTGTTTTTTGTACATGGCATCTAGGCTGTCCTTAATGGCGGATTTCTCACCTTGTAAGCCTCCCATTTATAGACACTAATAGAGATATCAGGTTGCTTTTACACATTCAGAAATACTGAAAAACACTGATAAAACAAAAAACAAAACAAAAAACATTCTTGAAATGCTTTGATTACCTCACACTTTCCAATATAAAATTCTTCTCTTTAAGAGGACAAATACGATGAAGCCATGTTCCATACAGCAAGTATGGACATTATGGGGAAAGCATAGTGTTAACTCTTAAGCTAAAACAGAATCCGAACTAGCTGTAGCAGAATTGTTAGAAATGTTATCCTGTGTGGGCCAGCGAGTAGACGCTAATAGTCTACTACTACGAGAAATTTCAAGTGAGTTGGTACACTTTGGTCATAGCGGGGTGCTGTGTGTTTAAAAAAAAAAAAAGTCATATTTTAAGCCATACCCATACTTATCTGCACATAACAGAGATTTACATTTTCCAAGTACATATTAACCTTCTGTGCACCTTGGGAGGTACTTATGATTGTTTAAACAAACAAAAAAAGCAGATGGTGAAATGGAGACACAGAGAGGTTAAGGGTCTTGTCTCATATTGCCTGTCTGTAAAATAATACCTATAGAGGAAATCTAACAGACCTGAGCATATACAGGAACTAAGGTGGATACAGCCACAGGTAGGCAGAAAGGCAAGAATCATTTACCTGCACACTCCAAATTACAGAGATAGTTAAGAAACAAAGGTTAAGTGACTGTTTTGAATGGGTTACTTAAACGCCGTGAGTTTCTGTTTCCCATTTGTAAAATATGGGAGGATAATATTTCCTTCCTTCACAGTAATTTTATGAACTGTAGCGAAACATTTGTAAAGAACAATACTGGATAAGACCAAAGTGTTGTTATTAAGGGTAGTCATTGGCAGAGATAGTGTAAGAACTCAGGACTTCCTGGTTTTAAGCCATCACTTAATCCATTAAACTGTATGATCTTTTAGAGGAAGACCTCTTAAGAACCTGAGCCAGCCCCCATTGACTTAAATGGAAGAAAGATCAGCACTTAAGAAAACTGGATGTGAACCTGCAAATCTATACATTAGTATGATGCATTCTTTAGGTACTTAGTCTCAATGTACACTTTACAGGCTTGTCTACATTACATCACAATCTAGACCATGAGGGTGGTGGGCAGGATGTGAATTGCAGGGCACTCCAAAGCATTGTGCTGTAACTGCTCCATATAGACCCTGCTGGTGTGAACTAAAAAAAAGGTACCTAGTTCATGTTGATGTAGTCCTGTTTCAATTAGTGAAAGGCACCATTCCTTGTCAAAACCAGATTAAACCAAATGTGGAATTTGGGCCTAGCTATTACAGAATTAAAATGAATTACTCCACTCCCTCCCCAAAAACCATTAGGAAAACTCAAAAAAAGGGAAACATCTAAACATTTTATCAAATCTCACTAAACATGTTGTCCAATTTGCTACACATTTTCCAGAAAAATTCCACCCTGAGAGAAATATCAGGTGAATTTGTTTGTTCAATTTGGGGAGGAAGCAGAGCCAAAATCCAACAGACAATTATGTGTTATTAACTAAACAGAATGTATAGCTACAACAAAAAAAGTGAAAACTAGATGTGGGTTTTTGTTTTGCTTTTTAAAAAACAGACTTTTGGCTGATGTTTTCATCTTTGCTTACCTTAACAACACATAATACCCCTTCATTTGTTCTTCCATCTGTTGTAATAGCGAAATGATTATCTTCATTTCCTTTTACAATGCTGAATCTACAGTTCCAGGCAGGTGAGTTAGGCTCATCCTTGTCCAAACAAGGAATTCTCAGTATTTCCACATTCACTCGGTTTTCCAGTACTTTTGTTTCATACTGAAATAAATATTATCTATTGTTTAAATTAAATAAATATGAATTACAGTATCAATTACTTAGTTCAGGAAATAGTTATATTGTGTTTAAATGCAAGGCCTTAAATCCAATGGCCAGTGTAAAGGTAATGAGGTTTTGGTTCTTGGGTTTATTTGTTTTTCTCTAAGTGAAGCGTTAAGCATCCCTTTCTGTGATTGTAGGCAAAATTCATTAGTTGAAATCTTAGTTCCATTGACTTCACTTTGGCCAGGATTTCATTCGGAGAATTTTGCCTTCGCCAAAAGGAATACTTAGAGAACAAAAAAACCATAAAACCTCACTACATCAGCTTTATAGTTTAAACTGCTACCAAAGTGACATGAGCTAAACCAGAAAAAGGTAATCTTGTACCAGAATAAGAGTGTCCTTTGAGGAGTTATACCAGTATAACTATAGTGGCTTAAATTCACTCTTTTCCTTATACCAGTATAACTTCCTATGTAGGCAAGCCCTTAGATGGTCTGGTTGGATGACTGGGAGAATCCAGTCAGAGATGATTAAAAAAAAAAAAAAAAAAAAAAAAAAACCTTCCCATCTAGGCCCTATAATAAAGATAGTTGAGAAATATGGTATTTGGAAACCAGGGACACAGAGAAAGGGATAAACAGTCCAGGAGAGTCACTCTTGGAGAAACAAACAGGGTCCCGGCTGGATCCCAAGAGCTCCTTAGTTTCCTTGGAAAAAACGTATATTGGGTCTGTTCTTTTCCTGTAATTCCATAGGAAAACCCATCTAAATTTAGTTTGCAATGAAGCATAAGATTAGAGAAGAGTAAATATGCATGTATACTATTTATTATTTTGAAACAGTTTTATCTAATGCTTTGTTCCATTTGCTAATAAATATACTTCTTGTAAAAAGGCTGTTGGTCAATGTACGTCACTGATCAGAAGGCTGTCTGAAGAGAGGATCAAGCAGGTTTCTGAACTCTCATCGGGCCTGTTGGCATGGACAGGGTATTGTACCAGATTCTGCTGCAAGAGTGGGAAAACTGCAAGATTCCACTCCAAGAGAGGTAAGGGTACGAGGTCTAACACCTCAAGGGGTGCACTCAGAATCCAGAAAGGGACAGAGGTGCAATCAACCCCACAATTGTGACAGAGGCATAACAACAAACAAACTTACAGATGAATGGCCAAAATATGGGGCATTGTCATTTATATCTCCAACGTTAATGACAACTGTTCCCGTATTACACAAACCGAAAGACTGACCGTCCATATCTCGTACTTCAATTAGCAATACATGTTTGCCTATTATCTGAAAATGAACATAAAAAAATGGTTACAGATAAAACTTTCACATTCATGTAATAGTCTGTCACTTTTATTGTAGAATTAAATGCTTTACTTCCTTCCCCTTCTTTCTAAAGATATGTTAAACATGTAATTATTTTCTAGGATAAAAGAAATAAGACAACCAGCTTTATGAATAGAAAAAACTGTGAAAAACACAAGGAAAATATTTTTCAGTGGCTAAGCAATACCAGAGCTCAGAAAGTTTTACTAGAAACTTATTAGTCATGTTGAATACCAGAGAAGGATCTCTATAATGTCCTACACCCACAATTGTCTCCTCTTCCCTATAATATATATTTATTACACACACACACACACACACACACACACACACACACACAGAAGCCAGGTCTTCCCCATCACACGCACACCTGTCTGCTGGGAAAAGCAGCAAGGAGTTCTACATAGTCTGATACACTATTGTCTGGTGGTAGTGGGAAAGTTTCCCATATACTATGCTGTCTCTTCCTGGGTCTTCTGATGCTGAAGAGCTTCACCCACTGGTTGCTGCTCTTTTCTCTCACCCTTCTGGTGAAGGGGATTTCCACTGTCTTCTCCCACTACTCATGGATGGAGCAAAACAGTATATCTTTTAACTCCATAATCTTGTGCTGACCTCTCTCATGCTACACCTTGAGTAAAAGAGTGGAAGTGCTCTTGTGATAAGTCTTGATATGATAAGGCATGCTTGTCAGCAAGGTCTGACAACACATCCAGATAGGATCATTGAGGGGAGGGGAAAAAAAGCATTTAACTGGACAATAATTTGAGTCACAGCAGTAAGATGCCTAACAACACCTGAGAGAGTGTGGATCTGGTAGATTAGGGCTCCCTAGATTTGCTGGGCTAAATTTGGTTTGTTGGGAAGAGGGGACAATTTTGCTTCATAAACTCTTCAAATTCATCTGTAGGAAATAAGTGATGGTACTCTCCTCTCAAGATTCACTTTCCATGGCCATCACCCCAATATTTCTCATTCACAATACCCACAATCTCAACATTATTCTTTTTCTAAGGCTTTGTCTACACAGGGAAAATTGATGGGCATAGCTATTTCACAATATCCCTCTGTATGGACGTTGCAGCCTTCTTTAATATAGTCCGCTCCTAAGCCCCACTGCTCTGTTTCTTCACTCTTTGTTGCTTGCCTAGGAACCCGCAGCTCCCTTTGCAAGTGACACAGTCAAGTGATGCTGACAAGGTACTTCAGAGATTGGAGCAGCAAAGCAAAACTGACACTCTCACATTGGGTCAGGGAAGCAGAAAAAAGTTCAGACTCCAGTTCATCTGTGTTTTTCCCAAGCTATGGAAGATTCTTGCTTCTAAATCATTAGAGACAATTTGAAACCATATATGGTGCCTCTCTCATCTCATTAAAATCTTGCATAGTTTTCTGTGAGCAGATATATACAGAGTTGTGAAGTGAAGCTAAATATAATGCTGTAGATAAAAGTTACCTCTCTATCCAGTTGTTGTTTTTGTGTGGTAATTACACCTGATTCATGGTGAACAGAAAACATTTGGGGTAATGGCGGTTGTTCTGATACAATTCGATATCTCAGCTTAGTGTGCAGAGTACCTGGTTCATCTCTGTCTTGTGCAATGACTTTTCCAACTACTGTACCTGTATATACACAACATTATCAATGTTAAATTCCAAAAATACCCCAAGTAACAAATACCAAACTAATTATTTGGTACTTATTTGTACATAAGATGGAAACCCCAAATGTTGCTTCTTTACACGACGTGACAAGTTGGGGGAATCTGTGTACTATTTCTGATTGTGTATGCATGCACGCGTGTGTGCATCTTTATCCAGCTACAGACTTCATTTTGAATGTACTGCTTGTTTGCCTTCTCTTTTGTACTTTTACCTCCATGTTGGGCTGGAATTCCAAAGGGGTAGTGGTATGGGGCTAAAACAGTAGAGAGACATTAAGTCTGGATGGTCCACTAAGCAAAAGGAAGCCCTCTAGACAATAGGCTAGTTCCTACCCAGGACAACTGCTTTAATCAAATCTGTGGTCATCTGAAGCTGATCAAGGAGTCACCTATCAAAGGGAGAGGGGGGAAAAAGGAGAAGAGACCAGAGATTCCATATTCTGGATAAGAAGCCATGTGCAGGAAAGTGGAGGGAAGGGAGAGGGCAGAGGAAGGATCCTAGACTCCCTAGACTGTTCTGCCCAAAGCCAAAGCACTCAACAGAGTGGTAAGGAAACTGAGGCAAGGAAAAATGCATACAAATGTTTATTACAGTGGAACCCCAATCATCTAATCTAACTGGGACTGGGGCCAGATCAGATAACCAAAAATCCAGATAAACTGGAGAATAGATGGCTGGGGCTTCTGCTGTCATCCTAGGGTGGACAACAGCACCAGCCCCAGCTGCCTGGGATGGATGACAGCCCTGGGTGGCTTGGTTAATAAGGAGAACCAGATAATGGATGCTCAGTTAAATGGGGTTCTATTGTAATTTGTCTAGATCTGTGTATCTCCCAGGCTATATAAAAAGAGTAATAATGTTTAGAAACCTGTGCAAAGGCTGTCTGTCTGCTTTGACGATCACATACCCCTGAAGTCAAACTGTAAACCAGAAGGCTCACACCTTCGGTGGAATTCTGGGAAATGTGCCTGAGCCGCTAGTGACAGTTGAAAGAGACAGCACCAGTTTCAGGCCTAGGAAATTAGGCTGCGAAGTCCCCACTGCCAAGAGAGGTATCAGACACAAAGCTCCTATACCTGGGAGTCCGTGCCGAGAGGTCCAAAACCCAGGAGGATACCTAAGCTCTCCCCAGCACCAGCACAGTAGGGGCATATGAGATTCAACATTTGGATACCCTCCCAGCAGTCTGGCAAGCATCCAGTAGGGGGAGCTTGACCAGCTCTGTAACAAGTTTACTATGGCCTGGTCTACACTAACCCCCCCACTTCGGACTAAGGTATGCAAATTCAGCTACGTTAATAACGTAGCTGAATTCGAAGTACCTTAGTCCGAAGTTACCGCGGTCCAGACGCGGCAGGAAGGCTCCCCCGTCGATGCTGCGTACTCCGCTCGCCGAGCTGGAGTACCAGCGTCGACGGCGAGCACTTCCGGGATCGATCCGGGATCGATTTATCGCGTCTTAACCAGACGCGATAAATCGAACTCAGAAAACCGATTGCTTACATCCGGACCCGGATGTAAGTGAAGACGTACCCTATAAAAACAAGACCTGAATATTATTGAAAACCTAGTAAAAAGTATAAATTCGTATTTTCTATTTCTGAGCATTTGCCTGATTCTTTTTAAATCTCTATTTATGGCTGCTTTCAGACAGATTAATAAGACACACAAAATAGGGTCTTTACCAGAAATACAAAAGATCAGATTTCAGTGAATTGTTTGTATAGGAATAGCCCAAACATAGCTACATTTCTGGAAAGCTTTAAACATATCCAAATGATTTCTTCCATGGAGTAATCTGATTTATCCATTTACTGAGGATTAAATTCTAATACTCACAATGAGTAGCACTGTACTCCATGCATAGTCCCGCTGATATTCAAAGGCCTAGACTGTAACCCTATAATCTGCCTGGTGTAAGAGTAGAGGAAGCTGCACTTCCTCAGGAGCAGAGCGGAGAATGAAACATGACTCAGTCCCAACTCCACCCTTTCCCCACTATTATTCTGGACAGAGAGTAAGTTAATTCATCCCCTTTTTGTGAAGCAATTTACACCCCTACTCTGTGCTCCTGGCCAATAAGGAGAAGGAGAGGTGGCAGAGCCAGGGTTCTTTCCATTCCTTGTCCATTCGCTTGAAGTAGACCGTAGCAGGTAATTAGTCCCTGCTCTCCCTATGACTGGGCCTTAAATAATCTAACACAGTGAGATACTAAATTGTGAATACGGGTGGCAGAATCTGACCCTTACTTTGATGTTCAACAAAACAGTAATTTACACAGTAGTGCCTGGGCCAAATTCACCCGCAGAATAACTTCCACTGAAGTTACACTAACAGTGAATATTGCTCTTTGTCTTTGGCTCCAATTCTCCTCCCGCTGAAGGCAACAGAAGTGTTACTATGGATTTTGGTGGGAGAAGGAACATGCCTTGTGGATGCATGGCCTTTAATCTTACTTCTGAGAGAAAGAATACACCTTACAGTAACTAAGGGTAAAATTTTGCCCCTTCAAAAGGAGTACAGGTAAGAAATATCAATAGATCTTATGCTATAACTACAGCATAATGTAGAAGAATGCTTCTCAAAGTCGGACCGCCGCTTGTTCAGGGAAAGCCCCTGGCGGTCCGGGCCGGTTTGTTTACCTGCCGTGTCCGCAGGTTCGGCCGATCGCGGCTCCCACTGGCCGCGGTTCGCTGCTCCAGGCCAATGGGGGCAGCAGGAAGCGGCGACCAGCACATCCCTCGGCCCGTGCCGCCCCCATTGGCCTGGAGCGGCAAACCGCAGCCAGTGGGACCCGCGATCGGCCGAACCTGCGGACACGGCAGGTAAACAAACCGGCCC